GTCCAGGAGCAGCTAGGAGCAGGTCCAGGAGCAGGGTCGAGAAGCAGGTCCAGGAGCAGCTCCTGGAGCAGGTCCAGAAGCAGGTCCAGAAGCAGCTAGGAGCAGGTCCAGGAGCAGAAGCAGGTCCAGAAGCAGCTAAGAGGAGGTCCAGGAGCAGGGCGAGAAGCAGGTCCAGGAGCAGGTCCAGGAGCAGGGCGAGAGCAGGTCCAGAAGTAGCTCCAGGAGCAGGTCCAGGAGCAGCTCCAGGACCAACTTTCCTTAAAAACAAAAAATGGAAATTTCTGAAATATTTTGTTTTCCCCGGATATAGCCTGTTGATGCTGATCAAGAATGTATATAGTTTATAGTAGTTAGAAACGACTCCTTCACCTAGTTTTAAGCTTCTGATTGAAGGTGCAATACCATTTTTTAATCGATATTACCTGCATTTTTTATGGACATTTTTTTGCCTTATCAAAATTTAAAAAACGCATAACTAAGCCAAAAATGGATTAATTTGAATTCGGAAAGCGTTCGTGTGCTAATTTTTAGCAGCTTAATAAAGCAGCATACTCCATTTAATGTGTGAATTTTTATCCGATTTTTAAAAATTTTAACGATTTTAAGCTTAGTTATGATCCATTTCCGATACGATCTTTTGTTTATATACAAACTGGAAGGCTTCCCTAGTTTAGTTCCCTTTCCTGTTTTTATTTATTTAGTTTGTAAACTGATTGTTGTTTATATACACTTGGTTTGCGGTTCGGTTAGTGTTGCAAAATGCTTTTAAAAGCATAATGCGTTGTCCTTCTCAATCCCTTAAAGCCAGTCGCCTCTTAGTCTGTTGTCCAAGTCCGAGTTCCTTGGCACCGCCTCATGCCACCGAGAAATGCCACAGCCATGTTGCTGCCTTTGTCTCAGCCGTCGCATTGTGGAAGTTGCACACGAGAGTTGCTGCTGTCCGACGGACAAACAAAAGAGACAGATAAACTGATTGACAGATGAACAGGGCGAGCGAGATGGCAACACTGCACTTAATGGGGTGGATCTAGGTCGGGGATGGGGTAGAAATAGTGGGAGGGTGGGGGCGGTGCTGTTGACATTTGCTGTCATTGTCACAACGTCGGCGACAGTTGCTGATGTTGCCATGTTGCAGTGTTGCTGCTGCAGCTGCTGTTGGTGTTGCTGTTGCTGTTGGTGTTGCTGTTGCTGTTGGTGTTGCTGTTGGTGTTGCTGTTGGTGTTGCTGCTGCTGCTGTTGGTGTTGCGTGCTGGTGTTGCTGTTGCTGTTGGTGTTGGTGTTGCTGCTTCAGTTGACCAACCAACCAACCGACCGGCCGCCTGCCGTTGCTTTGTGCAATTGCCTGTTGTTTGGCTACACTGGGACAAAATACTACCCATAATATATATATAAATAATTATATGCATTTACTATTTCGATTGTTTTGGTTTCTAGAAAAATTTCTTTGTAAATCTATAATTTTTTCCAATTAACTTGTTTTTCTTCTATTTCAAAAATCTTTTGAAATATTTCTCTCAGTGTCAAGGACCTAGGCACCTCTTCTATGTGGGCACTCCGGCTGACCGCCAATGGGGTAACGCCTTTGTCTCTGCGGTCGCCTGCTTATTGGGGATTGTTGTGGAGTGACCGACCACCGCCTTTCACCTGTCCACCTGTCCACCTGTTCACCTGTCTCCACCTGTCACCAAAGCCCAGCTTCCCTGTTTGCTGCACATTCCAATCGATTGTCACAATAAACAAACAAACAGGAGAAGCTGCAGCAGCAGTAGCAGCAGCAGCAGCAAGTAGTAAAAGTATTTCATAAAATATTTACATTGTTGTATTCCATTGCTGCTGCTGCTGCCAATACATTTAACCATTTGTTTATTTGTTGATTCTGCTCTGGTGTCTCCTTGATTGATTTTGTATTAATTAAGGCCAAGAGTTGGTGTTTTTCTTCAATTTAAATACAAATTGTGGGCTTAAGTAAAGAAGAAATTATGTCAGAGCATAGTTACATAGATTTTATAAAAGAAACTTTTATTAATATTAATTCAAGATAAATATATATATAACAAAGAAACTCATAGAAAATTTTGCTTTTCCTTTTTACAGATTCGCCAGCGCCAAAACGGAAGCGGAAGTGACGCTGCCTCTGTGAGAGCCTAGGCAGGCAGCAGGCAGGAACAAAGTTGGACAGGCGGACAAACGGTTGAATAATGCAAATTAAAACACAATAAAATGTAAAACACACAGACACACACTCACACACACCAACAGGCGCCAACTGGAGCAAAAAAGCTATACAACAACAGAAACAACAAATAGAGAAAATAGAAAAGAAAAGTAGGCGAAACGGTTGACATGCCCCAAAAAAAAGGAAAAAGAACGAACGAAGAAGGAAAACAATGCGCGTGGCGACAACTTTTCCACTGAATTTGATTTGATTTGAGCGGCCAGACACGGAATAAGTATACGCTGCGTATGCGCGATATACCTATATACATGCATATATATCTAGATATATATAAATATATATATATCAGAGAGACTGACTGAGTGTGTAGAGCTGAGAGCTGAGCCGAGTTGGAAAATTTGCATAACTTTGCTGGCGTGGCATAAACATCAAAAACAAATTGCAAGTAACAAAAGAAAACGGTCATAAAAAGGCGCCAGCCTCGTAAAAAAATATATATATATATATATATACAAAATACAAGAACAACATAACACAACCCACTCCTCTCCTCTCGCTCTGTCTCTCTGTCTCTGTGTGTCCTTCCTTCATTGGTGAAATTAATTTATGCAGCAAATCAAATACAAATAGGAAAAAGTATAAAAGTAATCGTAAGCATAAAACAATTAAGGACACGCTGGCAAAGAACCAGAAAAGTGCAAGTCAATATACGTGAGAAAACGTAGCAAAAGTAGACTTTTGGGGCCAACTTGGGGTCATCTTTGGGCATCCCTAACAGAAAGAGAGAGAGAGAGAGTGAGAGAGATAAGAGGGAGAGAGAGAGAGAGTCAGCATAGCCGGGTATAGCCAAGGGTTGCCTATAAATGTACCAGGACAGCGGCTGCAACAGCAGTAGCAGTCGACGCGGCAGCAGCAGTGCAGCATCTACAGCAGCAGCAACTGCAACAGGACCAGCAGCAGCAGCAGCAACAGGATCAGCAGCAGCAGCAACACCAACTCCTACTGCAGCAACAGCAGCAACTGGTACCAGCAGCAGTGACGAGGACACGCTAGAGACTCTCACGATCATAACCACCACCATAACCGAGACCGAAATCCATGCGGCTGCAACCACAGCAACCACAACGACCACAACGGTTATAGCCGGCGGCGGTGGAGGCGGTACAGCAAGCACAGTGACCACTGGAGCAGGATCTACAGCAGTTACAGGTGTTGCAGCTGTAGAAGCAGCAACAGCAGCAGCAGCAACAGCAGCAGCAGCAGCATTGCTACTCGCCACCAGCGACATCGACGACAGCAGTCAGGTGGAGAGCGAGGACAGTGAGGAGTGTGAATACGTAGAGATCCACGAGGGTTCCTCTCTAAGTAGCAGCACCAGTGGCCATGCGGCACTGCAACGCAGTGGCCACCAGGAACATCAACACCATCACAATCAACAACAACAATTGCAATTGCAATTGCAGCAGGCGGATGTGCGACTGTTGCGCAAGATCGGTTATATTGCATCGCGGGTACGTTATTTATCCAAATTTTACGGTGACTTTCGTCTGGTGAATCCATACAGTGCCCGAAGGCAGCGGCGACAGCTGCAGGAGATCCTGTTGCGTCACTCGATCTTTGATCCGGGCAAGGAGCACCAGAGGGCCATTGTATTGGCAGCGGCCACGGCGGCCATAGCGGGGCCCCTGGCAGCGCTTGCAGCGGGAACAGGAGCAGCAGCAGGAGCAATTACAGCAGCAGTAGCAGCAGCAGATTGTGTCAGCAGCAGTAGCAACAACAGCATAGAGGCGGTGAGTAGCAGTGAACTGGAGGAGCACGATCAGGATCAGCTAGCAGAAAAGAGCCCCGAGCAGCAGGACGAGGACGAGGAGGAACTAGAGGCGGAGACGGAGCAGCAACAGGCGCAACCCGTTATTGCCGTGACCACCACATCGACCACCGTGCGCCGGAAATCCTCGAGCAGTTCCACCATTAGCGGTACGGCCACTGTTTCCGGTTCCGTTTCGGTTTCGGCCAGTGCCTCGCAATCCTTTTGCTCCAATTCACCGATAGCTCTGCTTGAAGAGTTGCTTATACAGTTTTACGAGGAACAAGAGCAGCAGCATCGCATCAGGCAACAGCAACAGCAGCAGCAGCAGCAACAGCAACAGCAGCAAGTGCCACCAAGTTGCAGCTTACAGCTGACTGCCAGCGATACTACCACTACTAATAATAACAATAATAACAACAATAATAACAACAATTGCAACAGCCTACAGAACAACAACAACATGTCCACATCAATGTCGAATATGGCCAGCAGTGTGCAAACCACCAGCGATCCACAACAGCAACAGCAGCAGCAGCAACAGCCACCAGTCACACCCATAGCCTCCAGCTCGGGTTCCATTTCCGTTACCGGAATCGGGATTGCCTCAACCGGAGCACAGCCAAGTATCAATAATCCAAGTAGCAACATGCAACAGCAGCAGCAACAGCAACAGCAGCAGCAGAAGCAACATCTGCAGCAACATTCGTTGCAACACTTGGCATTGACAGCCCCAGATGCCGGTGATAATCCACGCCGAAGGCGGGCCAGTGACTGTTCCGCTGTCCAGGCAGCCCTCCAGAATCAGCTGCACTGCATCACGTTGAAGAACAACAATTGTGCCGCTGGCAAGGCGTTACCCTTCCATCGCGGCAGTTGTGGTGCGGCAGGAGAGCATTTGCTGGCCGCCAATTCGATAGCCAACAGAGCCACCATTATACTGAGTAAATCCTGCAGCAATGTGGATGGTGATGGCATTGGCATAGGCATAGGTGGAGGTGGTGGAGGAGGAACTGGTCACAACAAGCTGAGAGCCAGTGCCACCGATATTGAGTCGAATGCTCTAAATGGTGCCAGAGATGCCATGGCCATGGCAAATGCCTCGAATAATGGTAATGGGAATGGAAACGGGAATGGAAATGGTAATGGAAATGGAAATGGAAATGGGAACAATGGCAACAACGAGTACAGCATTCTGCAGCTGAACAACACGATCATTCAGTGTCACTTCAACGACGATGACTTTCGCGCCCTGGTCAAGGATCTTAAGCGCAAGGTCGAGTACACGGAGCGCATGAATTGGTTATGTGAGTAGAACTTGGAATATATATATTATATAGATATAAGGTTAGGAAAGGGGGTTGGTTTTCCTATTTGATAACCCAGAAACTAGCTTTTAGAATGATCTGAAAATTGGTATAGAAGATTATTGATAGGTTTCGGCCTTATAAAAATGATTATAAGCTTTGAAAGATCGGAAATTTTAAAAACCTATAACTATTGATAGATATTCTTACTATCAAGATGATTATAACTGTGACATTATCTGTATAACTGATCTGAAAATTGGTATACAGCCTCATTTATAGATTTCGGTTTTATAAATATAATTATTATCAGAAAACTAAGCCTTTAAATAATTTTAAAATAGGGATAATATATTTAAGATAAATTGTAGTCTCATAAAAATGCTTAAAACTGAGAAACAGACAGACCTTTTGACAGATCCTTAACTTATAATGACGATTGTAACCAAGAAACCACTTCCTTGAATTATATTAAAAACCCTAATCAAAATGTATAAATATGATATAATATATCTTAAAATTGGTATATATATAAATCAGGGAAATACACAACAAATGTCTTAATATATATCTCTAAATCGGTATATATTTATAGTGTGAAATACAAAACAATTTTCCTACCTTTGTTAACTTTATTCTATTACAAAAACCCATCTTAAACTGAACCTATGAACCGATCAAAGTATCAAGCTTTAAGACTTTTTTCCCTGTGTTATTTTACTTGGGCAAAAAGTAATTCCCTGTTTAGTTAACTAATTCGATTACATTCCGCCTAATTCGCTTAACGTGGATAGCATTTTGCCGCGAAAACTGCCATGCGGCAATTACTCACTCTCCGGGAGATATTATTCCCGGCACTTATTTGACCGAAATAATTGATGGAACCCCCGGAACTTAACCTCCCCGGAAAAACCAACCCCCTCTGACAAATGGGCCAAATGGTCAAGTGTTTTCACATTGACGTTGGCTTTTCCAACCCCGTTATTTTACCGTACTTTTCCTGCCGTACTTTTCCCCCATCATGTGTAATCGCCTCAAATGAGGCATGAGCGAATGCAACAATGGAATGGAATCAAATGGACAAATTTAAATGCAACTACAATGGAATGGAAAAATCATTTCAAAACGCTGCACAAATGCTGCTTCAAAGCAGGAAAAGTGGGGAAAGAGCTTTTCCTGTGCCCAGTCGGTGGGGAGGGGGGCGTTGTGAAATATTTAATTCAATGGCCGGGGCCATGGCGGTGGCAGGAAGCATTTTCAGTTTTCCATTTTCCATTTTCTGTTTTATATATATATATATATATAGATATATTTATTTTTGTTGTACATTTTGTATTTTTTCCATTTCGCAGCATAAATGCAAAGCCCCTGAGCCAAAATAAATACCAGCAAAAGCTGCAAATGAATATCTTATGAATGCAACTGGATTAGAATTTGATTGGTTTCGACCTCTGTGAGCTCTCTATCTATCTCACCTGAAATAATCTGGCCAAAAAATATGAGATAAAAATATAGATTATATGGAATATATGATATTTCAGATGGCAAGGACACAGATCCTGGCTTAAGCTCCTCTTCGGTTGTAATATGACTTACTTTCCATGTCTTTTTCGCTAGCGATTGCTTCAACGCCTTTGGCACTTTTTTTACGGCAATTAATACGCCCTTTATGTGTACAATGTGTCCCTCGAAACGCAATAAAAAATACAAAACATACAACAAAAAACAAGTGCTTCTGCACTGAGAGAAAAGTGAAAATATTTTAAAGCAAAATATGGAAAAGCCAAGGGAGCTCCTTCTTTTAAGAATATTTTAGCTCATGACTTTTTCTAAGCTGCTCAAATTATTCAAAGTACCTTCTTTTCACTTCACAATTTATTGACTTAAGGCCTTTCTCTGAGTTTCTTAAATTATTTACTTGGAACCCTTTTCTGCTTTTGTGATATTATTTATATTTTCATTAAAAAATTGCATTTATTGTATAACCTAAATTTTCCTTGTAGTGCAAAGTAACTATCACAACTTTGTTCAATGACTTTTAAACAACAAAAAGCAACAAAAATAAAGAAAAAGATATTGTTCTCTTTTGTATTGACATCGCGTTTTCCTTCGCCTTTATTTCGCTTCACTTTTAGAGCCTTTCTGTATTTTTTTTAAATACATTTTTACACCTTTTCAAGGTATTACAATTTTAGTCAGAAGCCTGAAACTAGGTAAAGGAGTCATTTCCGATCCTATAAATCATATGTATTCTTGATCAGGATCAACAGGAGAATTTTTCTAGGTATATCCGCGCAAAATAAAATATGTTCAGAAAATTCCCATTTTTTAAAAAAAAAAAAATTGTCAAAAATTAACAAAATTTTAAATTTTCTAATAATTTAAATTGAGTATGCAGATTTTTTAACCTAATAAAAACTAGGATAGAACCGTTTTCAGAATTTAAATTAGTGCTTATTTAGCTGAGTTATGAGTTATTTAAAATGTTATTTATCCCAAAAAAGTATGCTATAAAAACATCGATTAAAAATGTTATATATTTATACCCTTGCAGGGTATTATAATTTCAGTCAGAAGTTTGCAACGCAGTGAAGGAGGCACCTCCGACTATATAAAGTATATATATTCTTGATCAGGATCAACAGCCGAGTCGATCTAGCCATGTCCGTCTGTCCGTCTGTCCGTCTGTCCGTCTGTCCGTCTGTCCGTTTCTACGCAAACTAGTCTCTCGGTTTTGAAGCTATCTGAATGAAACTTTGCAGTTAGTCTTCTATATACTCTCACTCGTATATATGTCGGAACGGGCCGGATCGGACGACTATATCATATAGCTGTCATAGGAATGATCGGAAAAGTTTTACAAAAAAAATTATAAAATTTTTAGTTTTCAACAGAATTTGATCAAATTTGAGATATAGCCATTTCATATTAATTTACAATTTTGTGTAAAATTTTATGAAAATCGGATTAATATATCATATAGCTCCAATAGGAACGATCGAGAAATTAATTCAATTAAAAAGTATAACATTTTCAGTTTTCAACAGATTTTCATCAAATTTGAGATATAGCCGTTTCATATTATTCTACAATTTTGTGTAAAATTTTATGAAAATCGGACTAATATATCATATAGCTCCCATAGGAACGATCGAGAAATTTGAGAGGAATGAGAATGGCGGTGGCTGTTGTCGGAAGACTGACAATCGCGGTGGCGATAACATTTTTAGTTTTCAACAGAATTTAATCAAATTTGAAATATAGCCATTTCATATTATTCTAAAATTTTGTGTAAAATTTTATGAAAATTGGACGACTATATCATATAGCTCCCATAGGAACGATCGAGAAATTAATACAATTAAATTTATAACTTTTTTAGTTTTCAGCTGATTTTCATCAAATTTGAGGTATAGCCATTTTATATAAGTCTTAAATTTTGTGGCAAATTTCATAAAAATCGGACGACTATATCATATAGGTGCCATACAAACGATCGTTTGATGTAGAGGAAAAATGCAAATCTGTGAATGTAAAACTGCAAATATAATATGTATAGGTGAATGAAATGAAAGCAGGTATTACTTCATTGTTTTTTAACACAAATATATATAATTTATATTGTATGGATTCCTATTCATAGAAGTTCTATCTGCAAGGGTATATAAACTTCGGCGTGCCGAAGTTAGCTTCCTTTCTTGTTTAAGTTCACTTTTAAACGATTTCCTATACGGTCCCATAATTCAAGAGCAACCTTCAAGGGTGTGTAAACTTCGGCTTCCCTTAGTTAGTTATCTTACTTATTCTGTGTTTAACTTTTGTCCTTGCTTGCAGTTGTTGTCTTAGCATATAAGCTGGTTTTTTCCCAGCCATCTTCTGGCATTTTTCCACGCTGTCGCTTTTTAAACATTTCAATTAAAAGGACCTCTGTGTGTGTGTTTTTTTTTTATTATGAGAAAAGGGGAGTGACATACACACGCCTGTTGATTGCCTTCCGTTCAATTGGTTGCTAGCATTTTTCCCCCGCAGCATTTTCCAACACACAGCCATTTTACAGAATTTTCTTTAATCTTTGAAACGCTGCTTACGCGCTTCACCTGACTTTTTGCTGTAATTGTTTTTCTTTTTGTTGGGAAACTAAAATTCTTAAAAATATATGAAATGCTTAATTGAATTTCATTTAAAGTGTGACTTGAAATTTAGAAGGAAAGATGAGAGTTTAGGTAATTTAATACTTCTCCAAAAAGATTTCCTTTGCTCTCCTCTAATTATTTACCTAAGACCTTTCTCTGCGTTTCTTAAATTAAGAACTTAACGCCTTTCTATGCTCTTTTTTTACCAGTTACTTAGAGCTATATTTTCTTTATTAATTTCTCATAAATGCACTCCTTAAAGCTGACTAGATGTTGTCTAGTGTGAATTGGCTTTAACAGATTGTAAATCAAACCACAACAAGGAATCATTTTGAGAAGACGAGGGTGCGGCAAAAAAAAAAAAAAATAAAACGAGGCCAAAGAAACATAAATTGCCTGAAGGCATTTTGAGAAAGAGCCACAAAACGCAAAATGGTCATAAATTCAAAAACCTAAATGGCTTTGGCAATACCGGAATCAAAAGCCTCGACCGCACAACAAACACACACACACAACACAACAAAAGGGAAGTGGTTTTGGGAGAGAGAGGGGAAAGAAAGCGCCAAACATAATACAAATGACATATAACAAGAGTCGGGAAATATGTCGGAAATCTACTTGAGACAGTCGCCGAAAAAAGCCAAGCCAAGCTGAACGGCCAAAAGCCATATCAGAGGGAGAGAGCAGGGCTCGAAAGGCACTTAAGGCCAAGGAGTTGGGATAAGGGAAAGTTCTGGCCAAAAAGGACCAAGTCTGAATGCCAGAGACAGAGGGCCAGGCGGAGATGTGACAAAAGGCAAATGGAAAATGGTAAGGAGAATGGCCCTGGATCAGGCACAAGGCACAAGGCACAGTCACAGGGCAGGC